TTTTCTTTCTTTTCCTGGTCTGTTTTCTGCTGGCCATCCTGCTGTATTTCCTGCTTCTGTGTTTGTCAGGCCATCTTGGCTGGACTGGAACCGCTGATGGATAGACCAGCTTGGCAGCATCCTTTGAATGGAGTCTATGTTCTTTATGTATGCAAAACACAGAGATACTCCCATGATCCTTTGAGTCTACCTTGCTTTTCTGGGAGCCCTGCAGTTCCGAGGAAGAGTTGCGAACCCTGAGTTACCCCTGAGGTTTGCACATACTTATGTGATAAAGTGCAGGCTTGGGGCCTGTTTCTAGATATTCTTCTCTAGGGAGGGACACCGTGGTCCCCTAAGGGCTGGCAAATTCTGAAAGAGTTGGGTAGAACCCACAGGTGGACTTGACTGTCCCAAAGAAAGAACAGCTCATAATACAGGGTCGGGCACAAATAACGCCCCTTTTTATTACCTAAAAATCTTTTGTTACAAAGTCATAAGCATGTGATTCTGTAACATAACAGCATCACACTCAAGCACACCATATTTCACTTTACGTGGAATGTTCAAAATTGCTGTCCACCTCGTGCGAGACATTCACGTACCCTACCAGCCACACTCAGCGGCGTTACTTCTGCCGGACCCTGTGGAGGGAGAGGCTGCTTTTGACTCCGCTGCAAGCCGGCTCCTTGGAGGAGGAAAGAGAGGACTGTGGTCTGAAAATAAGAGCTGGGTCACCGGGGCCCCATGCCCGCTGCGGTGGGACCCCAGTGTCAGAGCACAGGTGGTTAGAAGGGAAAGGCGTTCACTTGCTGGCTGCAGGTTGGAGTCACCACCAGAGCCCTGCAGGTGGCGGCAGCAGGAGGCCCAGGGAGTGGCTGTGAAAGCTGCTGTCACAGGGCCCCTTAGAGTGTTGGGAGGCCGGGATGTGAGGAGTGGGCAACTGACCCAGTAGACCAGGGACGAATGGTTAATGTCACCTTGCTTGGGCTGTATAAGCTGGGATGTCCAGAAGGATAACTGTGAGCCCTCCAAAAAGGCAGAGAATTGGTTTATTTAGACCATTAATTAAAATTTATCAGTAACTTCCTCTCTGAGCTTTGGCACATCTCTAGGGAAGTGTTTTCTGCATTTCACCTTAGGTTGGTGCAGCTGTCTTTCCTGATTCTCTGCAAAGTTCATGAGGGTAAGAAACATCTCTGCTGGTCTGTGCAGAGAACCCATAAAAAAGATCTTTGCTGACTGTTCCTGGAATGAGCAAGGGAATGGATTCAAATGGGAGAGACCCACCCAACCTTGTTAGAAGTTCTGTATCTTTCTGCTCTCCTCTCATTGCCTTGTAAGGGAAAGGCTTGGTCCTTGGGCTGGGGGAGTACGTTCTCTCTCTGATCTATTAGAAAGAGCATGGATTCTGTGGTTAAGTTGCAATGGATTTAAACCTGGCTCCAACACTTGTCTTCCGTGTGACCTGAACAGGTCACTTAACCCCTTGATGCATCGATTACTTTAATTAAAGTAGGGATAGAAGTCTACTTCACAATGTTGCAAGGATTCAGCGAGAGCAAGTAAGCCGGCATATGCAGTCAGCGCCTGGTGTATTCCTGGCATGGAGCACATGCACGAGAAAGCACAGTTCTCAGCTTGGTCAGGATGGGCAAGGGTCTGCTGTGGTAACAGCTAATCCTGAGGCGTCAGTGGTGTAAGACAAGAAACGCTGGTGTTTTGCTCTTGAAATGCTGAATGCCAACATTACTGCTTAGGTGGCTCTCCGGCTGGCTGTCATCCAATGACTGTCCCAGGGATCTAGATATCTTTATTCCTTTGATCCCAGCACCTTCAACAACAGCTTTGAAGGTCCTCACAGCCAGGACAGGTGAGAAGGATGCTTGTAAGGCATATTTTTATGGGCTGGTGCTGCAGATGGTGGCTATCACTTTGTTACCATATTTCCAAGGTGTATTGCACGGTCTTCCCCAGATACAAGGTGGCCTGGACACATGGTGTTCTTTGGTGCACCAAGAGAAGACCCAAACCATGTGCTGTACACATAGCCCTGTCCCCACCATGCTTTCTGTCTCTAGCCCCGGAGGCTGATCTCAGCTGAGGACTGATTCTTCAGTAGTCATTCCCAGGGGCACTGCAGAGGCTGCAGGCGACCTTTGCTGGCAGCTCCAGCGCATCAGGATCTGTTTGTCAAGCCGTTGACCCGATGCATTTGTCTCCCACAGGCTGGGCTCCAGCAGGGTGATGGCAATTTAGGGAAAGGAGGTTGACCCTCTTAGAGCCACTGCAGTTGCTGCCGCAATGTTTTTTAAATTTTAAGTGCAGTATGTTGGGTTTTCCTATCTGGGGCACTCACTCTGCTGTTCTGGTCAGAGGAGGTTTATAGAAGTGATTTGGAAGAATCACTGAGAATTTGGCAGATGGTGTGGGGGGACAGCTTCCTAGGTAGGAGTGGCAAGTGCGAGACTTGGAAGAGCAGGTTGCGTTGGGGGACTGGTATGGGGCCACAGTTCCTTGAGTGTGGCTGGCCTGTGTCAGGCATCCCATGAGCAGTTATTAGTTCATTCATTCGATCTTTATTAAGCTCCTACTATGTGCCAGAACTGTTTCCACTTGACATCTAGTGGAAGATGGTTGATTGCCTCCCTCCTTGCCTTTCAAAGGTCATCCTTTTCTGTCCATGGCTGGTATGGCTCAGTTGGTTGGGCATCAATCCCTGAACCAGAAGGTTGCTGGTTCAATTCTCTGTTGGGGCATATGCCTGGGTTGTGGGTTTGGGGAGGCAACCAATCAATGTTTCTCTCCCTCTCTTTCTCCCTCCCGTCTCCTCTCCCTAAAATCAAAAATAAAATAAAAAAATACCTTTTTTAAAAAAGGTCATGCTTCTCCACTGTGTCTGGGGCCGCGTCTCCTCTGTTACCTGCTCCTCACCTTTCGTCTGGCCCTCGCATCCTCGCCTGCCGACCTGTGTTGATCCCCATCGGTCGCTGCCCGTCTTCTCCCAGTTTCCCAAAGCACCAGCGGCACGTGGCTGTCGTGTGCAGCCAGGTCCCCAGAGGAGCTGGGTGGAGTGGCGGGACATGACAGAACACGATGGAACCATTTCCAGTTCACGGTCAGACAGGCTTCCTGCACTGGCTGCAGCCTCCCCAGCGCACGCTGAAATACACGGTTACTTATTGGTTCACTTGTTTGCTGTCTGACTAAATCGTGACAGCATGCCTTTTTGTAAACCGCCGTATAGCTGGGACCTAGTACTCTGTAAGATCTGTGCTAACTGCTCAATTAAATAATTGCTGAACTATTGAATGAACACATGAAAGCAAGTAGATATTTTAGCTCCTACCAGTGCATCAGCCACTTCCCATCACAGGACATGTCTCATCGGCCATCACCTTCCGTAGGCTTCTGCTCTTCATGGTGTTTCTTGGACCGCTCTCTCCCTCTCTTTTCCATCCTTCTCTAGCTGTCTAGACAAAACACCCCACATTTCTGTTACTGTTTAGTGCAGACCAATTTAATACACAACTGACTTCCCAACCTCTGTACTACCCAGCGAGGTTCAGCCCTCCTGTGCCCAGCCCGAGACCCGCTGGGGAGCTGAGGGCCAGTCTTCTGGGTTCCCATGCGCGGCAGGAAGGGAAGGTGGAGAAAGCTTTGACTTCACTGCCTTTCTTTAGCGGTGTTGTAACCAGATTCTGTATTGAATCTGTCAACAGAACTTCCACCACCATATATAGAGGGGATCCTGGCGTGGGGTACACAGGAGGGATTTTGTCCTCCACAGCTGATGGAGGCGATGGTGATGTCACCTGAGAACGCAGACACGGGGGTTGGGGGGGCTAGTGGGGGCTGGTTTCGGTACCTCAAGCAGAGCCACGTTTGGATGTGGGACAGGGAGCCAGTGGGAGTTTATGGTGACTCGAGGAGATCTGAACATGAAGGAGACAAGAAGAAAGGGGCAGTGGAGAAGGCGGACCGGCGTGAAACTGGGTCTGGGGAGCAGCCAGGATGCCTCTGTGGAACTCAGGCCAGGGGTCGCCCCTGCCTCTGTGTGTCCCGCCCGCCGCCCTGGAGTGCCCTTCCTCCTGCCCTCCATCCTGGAGGCTCTCGCAGCGTTCCCAGCGCTGGTCAGCGTACCTCCTCGGGAGACTGCGGGCTCCTGTTTTTGTGGACGGACCGGCATTTCCAGGGTTACCCAGAGGGGCTTCCAGCTCCTAGCACATGCTTAGTAAATTCTTGCCAAAATCGAACTGACACGGCTTATTGTAAAATAGTGGATGGCTTAGATTTTACAGGGGAAAGCTTTGAACTATCAACATTGACTTTCTCATCTGCCAGGTGCATGATGGTGTGATTCTTCACACAGTTGATTTCTACTTTATGAAAGCGATTTCTCAAGAATTGCTTTTGTAAAGCGGGGGAGGAGGTACACGTCGAGCACGTATTCTGTGCCGGTTACTTTTCGTGTGTCACTCCTTTTTCATCTTCAGGGCGTTTCTGTCGGGCGGACCTTGCCCTCCCCATTGCAGGAGGAGAAACCGAGGCCCAGACCTGACAGATGGCCGGAGCCTCTGGGCTGAGCCGACCGGGCGTTGCGAAGCTGAGATCCAGGTCCGGTTCCGCCAGACTCCGGAGCCAGCGCTCTCCGCCACCTCGCAGCATCTCTTCCCGTTGCGGGAAGCAGTTGCAGCGGCGTGGCCCTCACCGCTTCCTGCTTAGCATGAGACGTTGTCGCTGTTTTCTGTCTCGGGAAGGAAGATGGAAATAGATGGAACTAGCCTTATTAACTGTTTAAAATAGGGGGGACCAGCAGCTGCCGGCGCCTTTCCTGAGAGCACCAAAACACATATAAAAATCCAATTTGCTTGCCGTTTTTGTTTTTTTTTTATTTGAATCTTCTCCCGAGTTTAAGATTCAAAGCTGTGAATGAGGAGCCGATGAGACAGGGGTAACGAACCACGTCGCAGACACGAGGATGTACTTACCCGCATCTCTGTCGTTCGCAGGCGGCTGTTCCTTCGATGAGCACTACAGCAACTGCGGTTACAGCGTGGCCCTGGGGACCAATGGGTTCACCTGGGAGCAGATCAACACGTGGGAGAAGCCCATGCTGGACCCAGCCGTGCCCACAGGTGGGTGACCCGCTGTGTCCGGAGTGGTGGTGGGATGCTATCTTACGTGATGTCTGAGAGGGCAGTGCGTAACTTTGTGGGTAGTAAGTTCCCCATCCCCAGAGGCCTGCAAAGAAGGCTGGGTAAATTCTTAAGAATGCGGTAAGAATGTTGCCTGGATTCAGGAACCTTGAGGATTTCATTTAGCTTTGAGATTCTAGGCGTTAGCTCCAAGTAGGGCATCACTGGGTTTTGCTTGGGAGCCGGATAATAGTGGGATTTCTGGGGAAGAAGGAGCTTCTGAAGAATTTGAGGTCATGTTTTTCTTTGCAGGCCTGTACATATGTAGGGAAACTTGCACAGCAAGAAGGTTACTTATAAAGTTAATGTCCAGGCATCCTGGACACCAGGCTTACCCTAAACCCATGGGGCTGCAGCTGTGATGTGTGTCCTTGTGCGTCCTGCAGGAGGCAGGCCGATGAGGTGTGTTCGAGGGGGGTGCACCCGGAGGAGGTGTGCTTGAGGGGGGGTGCACCTGGAGGAGGTGTGCTCAGGGGGAGGTGCACCCCGAGGAGGTGTGCTTGAGGGGGGGTGCACCTGGAGGGGGGTGCACCTGGAGGAGGTGTGCTTGAGGGGGGTGCACCCGGAGAGGTGTGCTCAAGGGGGGGTGCACCCGGAGGAGGTGTGCTCGAGGGGGGTGCACCTGGAGGAGGTGTGCTTGAGGGGGGGTGCACCTGGAGGAGGTGTGCTCAGGGGGAGGTGCACCCCGAGGAGGTGTGCTTGAGGGGGGGGTGCACCTGGCGGGGGGGGTGCACCTGGAGGAGGTGTGCTTGAGGGGGGTGCACCCGGAGAGGTGTGCTCAAGGGGGGGTGCACCCGGAGGAGGTGTGCTCGAGGGGGGTGCACCTGGAGGAGGTGTGCTTGAGGGGGGTGCACCTGGAGGAGGTGTGCTCAGGGGGAGGTGCACCCCGAGGAGGTGTGCTTGAGGGGGGGTGCACCCGGAGGAGGTGTGCTCAGGGGGAGGTGCACCCCGAGGAGGTGTGCTTGAGGGGGGTGCACCCGGAGGAGGTGTGCTCAGGGGGAGGTGCACCCCGAGGAGGTGTGCTTGAGGGGGGGGGTGCACCCGGAGGAGGTGTGCTCGAGGGGGGTGCACTCAGAGGAGGTGTGCTTGGGGGGGGTGCACCCGGAGGAGGTGTGCTCGAGGGGGGGTGCACCCAGAGGAGGTGTGCTCGGGGAGAACACATGCAGGGTAGGGTAGGCCAGGGTGAGTTGATGCCGTTAGACAGGGAGAATCCTAACTCTGAGAACATGAAGCTCATCTCTTTGTAAAATGGGATCCCTGGGACAGTCGTCAGGGCAATCGATCCCCTGTGGTTCCTCCCTGACCACGGGCTCTCCTGACCCTCATCCTGACTTGGCTTTTCCCCAACCCTCCTGGTGCTCGCTCTTAGGCTCCTTGGTCACCTCACTCTGGCCATTAAACGTTGGAGTTCTGCAGGCTCCTTCTGTACTCTTTGCACGTGTCTGCAGAGAAATGGGACCGACAAGCTACAGGGAGAGATACACAGTGGAGGAGATTTGTTATAGGAAGTGGCTCACACGCTTACGGAGTTGCCCTGGGAGAAGTCCCGTGACCTGGCCTCTGCAAGCAGGAGGGTCAGGCGAGCTGGTGGTGGCGTTCAGTCTGAAGGCCAGGGAACCGGGTGGGGGGCGGGGGTGGGGGTGGATGGTGCAAGCACTCATCTGAGTGTGAGAGCCCGAGAACCAGAAGCAGCAGTGTCCGAGGCAGAAGACAATGGACGTCTTGGCTCAAGCAGAGGAAGAGCAAGTTCACCCTTCCTCGGCCTTTCTGTTCTATGTGGGCCCCTGGGGACTGGGGGATGCCTGCGCACCCTGGGGAGGGCTGCCTGCTTTACTGAGTTCGCCTGTTCAATGCTAATCTCTTGTGGAAACCCTCCCACAAGCACACCCAGAAATAAGGTTCTACCAGCTGTTTAGGCATCACGAAGTCAACCATCACACCATGGGTGACAGCCATACCTGTGGCCTCAGGTGCCACCAGACATCTCTTTTGACCTCTGGACATACACGACCCACTGTGCCCTGTCTTCCCAGCTGATCCTGGGGAGAGGAATTCTCCAGATGTCACTAAGATAAGGACAGGCAAGATGCTCAGGTGGATGTCTGGGGAGGGGGTGGGTCATGCTCCTTGTTACCTCATTGACCCTTAAGTTTGGCTCCAAAGCAAGAAGCTACTGCACAGCTCTGTACAGTTCCCATTAAGGGCATTGGGCATTTGGAGAAGTTTCTTCTGAGTGTGGACATGAGCCACAGATATAATAAAGATGTGCTCTGATGCAAAACTGAGCTTTTCGATCTGGTAGGGTCTTTCTTTGCATGAGCAGAGTCACCAGCAAAGACATGTGCTCATTAGTAAGGTGACCACGGGACAACCTCTGTGCCCATTGCCCCATTATACTTCGTACTCTCCAAGTGTCTTGGTTTTTAAATGACGGAATCGCTCAGCCCATTAGGGACCCCGAGAATCCAGAGAATCTGTGCTGGAATATATCACCTCTGCTTTGCTCTGCGTGGCTGTCTTTGATGCTGGCTGATAAATCCAGGTCTGGAGTGGGGGTGGGGAGGGAGGGGGAGAGAGAGAGAGAGAGAGAGAGAGTGTGTGTTTACATGTTTACATGCTCCGTCTACTCCTGGTGAGCCCACCTGAAGCCCCATAGGCTCTCGTAGGCTCTCCACACTCTGCATCTCCAAAGCAGACTCCTGATTCCCCCATTCCCCCTCCCTGTCTATTCATTCTCTAGTCCCTTGTCTCAGGAAAGGCCACTTTGTCCACTCCGGTGCCGATTTGGAAACCCAGGGGTCACACCCCTCTCTTCCCTCCCTTTGCCCTCTCTGCCCGTCAGTCATTTGGTTCTGCCACCACCGTGCCTCCCGAGCACCTCTCTGCCTCTCCGCCAGCCCTGGCCTGGCGCACGTCACCGTCAGCTCGTGCCTGGGTAACTGGAAGGTTTTCCAACGGGCTTCTTGGCTTCCTCTTTCAACTTTTATCCTCTCTCCACATGGAAGCCAAAGAGATTGTTCTAGAATATGGATCTATTCCCGTTACCTCTTTCACTTATTGCCCCACCTTGCTCTGCCTAGAATCTTTCTGAGGATCCCTGTGGCCCCGAGAAAGAAATCCAAGCTCCGCTGTGGCCTCCAAGACCCCACGTGGCTCCTCCTGCCCGTGCCTCCAGCCAGGCCACGTCCTACTCACACCGTGCTCACGTCACCCTGACTTCTGTCAGTTTCCAGAATGTTCCGTGCCCTTTGCTGCCTCAGAAACTCACATGAGATCAGCACTTTTCATGGAGCCTTTCCCCCACCCCGTTCTCCTATACTTCCCCGCACGCCTCAGCATAAACGTCACTTCCGCACGGCAGTTCTCCCCAGATGCCCGGCTGTGGGCGGCCCTCTGCACTTGTCTCCCATCATGCACCGGCGCTGTTCCTCGGCAGTATGTACCGCCACCGGTGGTCCTTGCTCAGCATGTGTCTTCCCCCCGACGAACAGTCCCGTGTGACCGGGACCCTGAGGGTCTCGTTCCCAGCTTCATCTGCCTTCCTTAATGCAATGTGTCACACTCAGCAGGTGTATGTGCTATGTAACATTTTTGTTGGGTGGATGCATCTAGGCGGGCAAGCCATCTTTATCACATTTTTTCAAATGAAGGAATGAATGACAAATGGCATTCAATGCCTTTAGCTCTTTATTAACCGACCACACATTTCAGCCTTGTCCACTGTCCTTCTGTTTTACGGATCGGAAAACCGAGGTTCCGGGACGCAGGGTGACGTTGCTCTCTTCGCCGTGCCCGCCCCCCCACCCCCGACCCCCCGTGGGACAGCCGTGGCTTCTGGTCTTAATTTCCTCATCCCCTCATTACAGCGGAGCGTCATTTCATAAAAATTGGATTGTGCGAATGCAGTCTTCTGAGCTTTTCCAAATAGAGGCATTTGATAATGATCACTGAAGTTATTGTCACGACGCGCCCGTGGGTTTCGGCGGCTCTGCGTGCCTCTTGGGCAGAGAGGCATGACAGTGAATTTGGATGAGGCGGAATTGTTTGTTCTTCTGGGCAAAGGCTGAAGTCTTACTTCTCCTTCCGCAAAGCTAGGAGTCTCCCTCCGTTTGGAAGCCGAGTTGGAGTCTATTTGTTCACGTGCTCCGGGACCTTCTACTGCCCCTCTTGTGTGTGCCGGGCTCTGTGTTAAGCTCTGGGTACACCAGACCAAGTCATTTTGGCGTTTACCCCTCTGGTCTCTGGTGGCTTCCCTGGGCACCTGGGATGAAACCCAAACTCCGTGCTGTGGCCTGCATGGTCCTGTGAGACCCAGTATCTTCACTGAGCCCCTTTTCTTCTCTCTCAAAATGCTGCAGACACGCTGGTTATTTTTCAGTTCCTCGGGCATGTCAGACTCTTTCCCGGCTCGGGCCCTTTGCACAGGCTGTGCCTTCTCGTTGGGATTCTTCTCCACTCTTTTTTTTTTCTTTTTTAAAAATATATTTTATTCATTACGCTATTACAGTTGTCCCATTTTCCCCCTTCACTCCCCTCCCCCCTGCCCACCCCTCTCACCTACTTTCCCTCCCTTTAGTTCATGTCCATGTGTCATAAGTTCCTTAGCTTCTACATTTCCTATACTATTCTTGCCCTCCCCCTGTCTATTTTCTGCCTACCATCTATGCTACTTATTCCCTATACCTTTTCCCCTCTCTCCTCCCCCCACTCCCCTGTTGCTAACCCTCCATGTGATCTCCATTTCTGTGGGTCTGCTCCTGTTCTCTTTGTTTGCTTAGTGACTTGACGGATTTCTTGAGGTCTCAGCTCCAATGAATGACTCCCTCTCAAGGAGATCGTCCCTCATTGGTCTATTTAAAGAAAGACTTCCTCATTGTCTCACTCACAGCCCCTTGTTCTTGGCTTTCAAAGTCCTCGTCGTAGACACGTTTACAGGCAAG